TGAAAGAGGCCTTTTCTCTTCAGTTTAAAGGTGTTCATTATGATCCCACTTCATGGCGTCAATTTCTGAATTCTCTACGTTGTTCTGTTAAACCATCTCGTCTTCTTTCGGTGGAATGTTGCTGTCCTGCAGTAAATATGGTAAAGCTCAACGCTGACGGGTGCTCCAGAGGGAATCCAGCAGGAATGAGTGGAAAGGTGGTGGACTGTTGAGGGATTCAAATGGTCGGTTCCTTTTAGCTTACTCTTGCCCGTTTGGAATTTCACTAGCATTCAAGCTGAAGCTAAGGCATTATTGTTTGGTGTTTTCTTTATGTGGTGATCAGGCTTATCCATTTGGAGGCTGATTCTTTAGTTTGGTGACGATTCTTCGAGGTTAAGCAAAATGTCCTTGGCATATATATCATGAGGTTCAGAAACTTGCTTATCAGTTATAGGCACATCTTTCCTGAAATTTCTCATTGCTATCTTGAAGCAAATAAGCCGGTTCACTTGCTTTCCAACAATTTCCAACATTAATTGGGACAAGTTAAAAGTGATAGATCTCGTCTACCATCTTTACGGTTTTCTTAGTATCTCAGGAGTGTAACGTTAGTTTCTCTTTGTAAATTTCTTATGCTTTACTTAATCTCCCACTGTACTTTTTTGAGGACAGGTTTATGTCCCCTTCCTGAATTTTGGTTATTAATTAAATTAAAGGATGGTGTCCTTGGGAGGGAGATTGAATAGGTGGTACAGAGAAGAAGTGTAACTGAAAGGTTTGAGATTCAAAACTTTCCACTTATACTTAAAAAAAAAAAAGATGACGTTACAATATATATAGCAACAACTTAGGCCCTATTTGATAAATCAATTCAGCACTTAAATTTAATGGGTTTAGATCTTAACATATTCAAACACATTTAATAAATAAAATAGAACATCTGAATTAATTAAATAACACTATATTCACTTAATTAAGTAATCTAATATACACTAAAATGTATCAAATTTAGTATTTAACAATTCAATAATTTAATAAATTCAAACTTCATTTTTCATATTTCAATTTTATCAAATGCATCCTTAGTCAAACTTTAACCGACTTTAACTAGAAACCCTATAATTCTATATAAATAGACGTGTCGTCATTTTTCCTCCATCGTATATTTGATAACCAAATTTTGCTTCCACTATATCAAAATAAATCACTAATCCAATTACTACTTTGAAGTTTCAACTGCTTCACATTGGCAACAACTTTTCCACGATTATATTAGCTCCTTAGGATATTTACAACATTGACCCCTTTGCCAAAGGTGCTACCTCCACTAGTTGGAGAAATTTTGCTTACGATACGTGGAACTTATGGCTCAGAACAAAATAAAAATTTTCGACTTCAATGAATTTTTGTAGTTTACAAATGCATTATAAATGTGAAGAGAAAATGTAATATTGAGCATCAAGGATCTAGCAAAGGAAAATGTCAGTTTTAGCCTTTTAGGTAGGGGTTTTTTTTAAAGACAAAATTTTGTTTTACCATACTAATGTGTAAATATGTCCCAGTTGACCCAAAAAAATGTTAGTTTTTGGTGTCGATTTTTAGAAAAATTTCGTTTGTACCCGCCACTTATTTGTAGAAAGTCAATAAGTGTATGTGCCTATAAGTAATCTGCTAAAAGTTACTAAAGAAAGAAACATATTATGGAGATAATACATAATTGACTAGTACAGTACATGGCCAATGGTTTTAGGGTTCTAATCCACTAGTAAGAACTTAATTTAACAAAAGTCACACTTTAATGACTTGTAAGGCATTAACGAATTCCTTGTGCCCAAAGAAAATATCAAGTCATACTTTAATGCCTCGCAAGAATTCCTTGCACCTAAAAACAGAATCCTGGCTCCACATGTCTAACAAGTGGGGACATTCTGTCATTCTTTTAGAAAGAGAATAACTGTAACCTTGTTGTACTTTTACCCTAACAGCTAAAAAAAAAAAGCACCGATGATATTGTTCCAGAGCCTTGATAGTTTGTGTATTTTTGGAAAAGCTTCTATTCCTTCTTTGCTTTGGGAATTTTGTGCATGACTATTCATACCATATGTTTTGCAAACTGAGGAAACAAACATTAAAACGACACAGTTTAGGTGAAAATAACACAATTTGGAGAAGAGTTCAACACACACTAAAAGGATACAGATTATATATATATATATATATAAAGAGCTCAGTCTTGAGGCAGTAATAATTGAAAAACACGGCTAATTGGGACTTTTTTTTTGGTTAAAAATTGGGTGTTTCAAGTATAGTTATCACTACAGACTATGGCATGCCTAGGATCGTAAGTCACGTTAACACAATCCTCATATTAACCATAAGATTCAAATATTGGGTAATTTCAACTATAGTTACTCCAACTAGTTAAAACATGTCTTGGAACCATAGGTGACTCATTAATATAGTCATTACATTGACAACAAATTCAAATATTAGGTAATTTCAAGTACAATTACCACGACGAGGTAAAGCATGCTTGGAGCCATAAGTAACACGGTCCTCACATAATAAGAAGATTCAAATATCCGGAGAGTTTCCAAAATATCTCTAATTATCGGGCCATTTTATGATGACTAAATTTGCAAAAGGGCTTCCCCTATAGTATCAAAAGTTTTTTTTTTTTTTTCACCGAGCACGTGAATTGCATTCTTATTGTTTGATTCCGCAAGCAGCTGGCCTTACTTGTTACATGGCACATCTTCAGGCTGCCTCCCTCTACCCGGCCCACCAAGCACTATTGCCTTTCTCGTATTGGTTCTGCCCATAAATGTTCACATTCCACCGTAGCCAGAAAAACTTTTGCAAACTTGGCAAACATACATTAAAACGACACTGTTTTGCGAAACTAACGCACTTGAGGATAGTTTAACACACACTACAAGGATACAGATAATTTTTTTTTTAAAAAAAAATGCTCAGTCTTCAGGTAGTATGATTGAAGAGCAAGGCTATTTGGGACTTTTTATTTTGGGATCAAAAAATTGGATGGTTTCGAATATAGTTATGGGCTATAATATGCCTTGAAATCATAGATTGTTCATTAACACAATTCTCGCAATAACAACATGAAATAAATATTAAATGGTTTCAATTATAATTACCATCATGGATAAAAAAAAAAGTCTTCTTATCATAAACCGATCATTAACATGATTATTACATTCACAACAGGATTCAAATATTAGATAGTTTCAACTACAGTTTATCACTACGAAATAAAACAGGCCTTGAAACAATAGGTAACACAGTCCTCACGTTTGATAATAAGATTGAAGTACATGTGATTAAATGATGCATCCTTACCTATGTAATCCTTTTTTAGCACTTAAAAAAAAGTTCCATGTGACGAAGACAGAGAGAGTAACATTTAAAGGTGAGGACCCCAGGTGTCTTAGGGTTCGTTTGGGAGTGGAAGATTTGGATAGAAAAGAAAGGGAAAGAAGAGAAAGTTTACTTTTGCTTCATTTGCTAGTTTTAAGTAGGAAAGAAAAGAAAAGAAATGGAAAGATGAATAGTTAAGAAAATGCTTCCTCCCAAATCGAAAAGAAATGGGAAGAAAGTTTGGAGAAAGCTTGATATTTTTTTTAAAATGCCTATTTTGTCCTTAAAAAGGTTTTGAACAAATATTAATGACTTCTATGTCCAAAATCATTCCACTAATTCTCAAAACTTCCTAACAACATAACAATCTCTTCCTTCTCTTCTCTTCTTTCATAACTTAAGCTTTCCCTTCTTTTCTTTTCTATCCTAAACTCCCAAACTAAGCCAAAGGCAAGAGTGTTAACTGACTCAGCATCACCAATGAGAGGCACGGACGGGAGGAAAGGAAATATGGATAATGTAGCAACGACAAAAGCTCTACGGCCTCAACTTGGTCTTGCGCGTGAGAAGCGGAAAGAGAAGAAAAAGACAAAAGGGAAAAGTCTTGATTGTGAAACATGATGCCAACCTAGACGTATAAAAGATTCGGCAAGTCAAGATGTCAAGCTCTTTTTTTTTTTTTTTTTTAATTTTAAATTAAGACAAGTTTTTTTTTTTTTTTTTTATAATTTCTATTCTATACTTACTAAGCACTAATTTACACTGAAGGGAAGGGGTGGATCCAAAGGAATCAATGAGAAATTTTAAAAGGATTAAACTATCATCGAATTAAACTGAAAAATAATGCAAGTCAAGAGATTTAATTTTTTAACTTACATTCAAGAAAAGATTTAATTCTCTCATTGGAGGCTAACTACTTTAGAGAGAGTTGGCAGGACAAGCTAGTTGAGTTGTAATAAGATGATCAAATTATACATAGAATAAGTTGGATGCTTGACTAGGAAAAAAATAGGCTGGAGTAAAGGCTGTAATTAAATACAACTTGTCTCTCATTCAACGGTCGTTATCCAAAAAAAAAAAAAAAATTATTCAATGGTCGATTCAACAACGTCCATCAAGTGATGGCCTTTTCTTTTTATTCTTTTTTTGAGAGTGACATTCATTGTGATGACTTGGTCTTAATAAATATTTTGTTAAGTGCAATTATCTTTTCGTGATGACCACGTAGCGAAGACAAAAGCCCCATTTTTTTACCCCAATTTATGCAAGGTAATTCCAACAGATATTCCTCAGAAGTGTATAAATCACTCCAATTAAACAATTATTTATTTACCCATGGCCTTCAAGCAGCTGGACTCAGGCATTTTAGGACCTATTCTTTCTACACCATCAACAATCTTGAACATGTCTAAAACCAACAAACTAATAATCCAAACGACATTATTATTACCATGTAAAAAACAGTCAATAAACAGATTCCCTAATCAGGATGCTCATCTAGTTGATCAAACAAACTTGAAAACTAAATACCAAACTGAGAAGAGAACCTAAACAACCTAATTGTATCTACATAACTGAAGGAAGAAATCAGAACCTTGCAACAGCTGCTAAAACTCATCTCAGATCTTCGTCAAGGCTTCTTATCTTGCAACTTTCTGAATCTGCATCAGAAGACCATTTTCTATTGCTCCAACCAATTCATCAAAGTACTTTCGAGTCACCGAAGTCAACTTCGACAATTTCACTCGAAATCCATCAAAATCCTCCAAAGGAACTTTGAGGTAAATTTGCAGTTCAGTCTGTGCACATTGATGGAGTTTCTTCAAAGTAGCCTCTGCTTGATCTAGCACGTACTCGAAAAAGTTCATCTTCCACTGATCATCATCTGGTATATAATAGCCATAGACATAAGCCCATTTCAGAATTCTCCTACACTCCACAATCTGATCCCAAGCATCTATGATAAACTCCAAATTGTCTTCGCTTCGATTCTGAACTTGACTCAGGTTCTTAAGATGCACTGCCTTCAATTCTTGCATATCCAACAAAGCTATTTGCCTCCATTCATCATGAGTACTCCATCTCTCGTGACAATACCTGTACTTCTCCAAAGAAATCCTAGCCCTCTCCCTTTCTTTCTCAGTTTCGTCCAACTCATCGGATTTTTTCACATCGCCGTAGAATCTACAAGTGTAATTCCATCTGCAGTCGTATCGTGGTCCGACCACGGACCTAAGCATAGCCAACAAAATTCATAATTGCAAGGTGATGGACAAATCGCTTGCATACCTGCAGTAGCATCCTCCAGTAGTCTGTTGCATGATGGACAAGCCTTACAATTAGCTAATACCAATTCATATTTTGGGATTCAGGACATTTTTTCCATCTATCCAGAGTCTCACAGTCTACCGGCTATGAGCCTCCCCTAAACAATTCCAACAGAATTCACGTGTACAATCACAAGTAACATCATAAGTCCTCCCACCTGTTTCCCCCGAAGAATTTCAACCGCACGGCCGCAACCTGCAGGACACCACCTCATGGACCCTTTCCGGCCTAATCCCATATAAGTTGCTACAAGATAATCACCAGAAAATCCGGCAGCAGATTCAGATTGATCACGATTGGATTTATTCCAGCAAACCAAAAAACTTCCAAACTTTCTCTTTGTCTTCATCGGGAAACCACTGGTCGCAAAGATTTTCAATGTTCCAACCATATTTGCACAACAACCTGGTCGTCGCTTCCTCGGAAAGCGATAAAACACTCGAAAACTTCGCAATATCATCCTGAACACGAGCTAGAATACCTTCCTGATTCAAAACTCGAAAACCCTTTGAAAAACTACTTTCGCAGGCTTCCAGAACACGATTTACTGGGACTTCGTAGCACTCTTCATCCATTTCTTCGCCGCAGCAGCGCCATCAATCTCATCATCATCGGTGGGAACTTTGAAATCATCCGACCTCCGGTGGATAACCACATAGTCCTCCACTCGCAATCCTCGCAATCAACGTACTCCCCACTCGCAATCCTTGCAATCAACGTACTCCTCCATGTTTAAACACACCTATGAAACTCAGAAGAACCCTAAAGGATATGATAACCGTAGTTTAAGTTTTGGGAATATGTTCGACAACACTGTTAAAGCTCGGAAACCCTGAAATGGATGAAAACCGTTGCTAGGTTGTGGGACAAAGAACAGTGAAGTAGATGTAGGTTGGAGGCAAGAACGAAAGTTCTAATAGGAGTGGAAGACTTCGAAACTATATGTACATATAAAAAAAAATATATATATATATAGAAAAGGGATTAAATTAAAACAGAAAAAATTGAAGGTAAGATTATTCTGATCGGTTTTGTGTGGGTATCAAGTCTTAAAAGATGTTAGAAATTTACAGTGGGAATCGAATTGCTGCTGGAAGATATTGGGTAGGAAGTCTTTACAGTGACCATTTTTCACTGCAATACAAAAAGCGAGTCCATTTTTATGGTTTTTGTCATCTTAGTTAAAGACGCTTGATTTTTACTCAAAATGGAGTTTGACCAACAACCAAAATTATGGCACTTTCTTAATTCACCCACAATAAATGGAGTTTAACCCACAATTATGGCACTTACCCCGTTTAAATTAGTTATTTCTGAGGTACTTTTAAAATTTTTTACTGTAATAGTGTATAAAAAAACTTTTACTATAATTTTTTAAATATTTGATATATTATATAGATGAGATGTTTTTAAGCTATTTTTATTTATGTATTATTATATCATTATATTTGAAAAACTTGTTTTTGAAAAAATGGCCAACTCAAATGGATCTGTAGATTAAGAAGACTTGCATGAGCAAATAAGCCTACAGAATGTCAATGTCAGTGTCCTATTTATTGTGGACTAGCTTTTTTTAGTTTTCATTATAATTTGTGGTAAGCAAATCAAATAGAAAGCAGCATGAGGCTATTTGAAGTCGGCACGATATTTATACACGTTCTTTTTCTGAGTACATTGACTAAATTTTATATAAATGGATAGTGTATACACTGTTACGAATGAGATGCATAATATTGATAGTAAATCTTTTTTTAATTTTAAATTTAAATTTAAATAAGTTGTCATCCATCAAATGGTGATGGTATATACACTGTCAATGTATAAAAAATTAATTCTTTTTTTATTAATATTGTTCACTAATTTTTATTATATTTTTTCTGGGAAGAATTATGGTTTAATTTAGTTTATTCATCTTACATAGGTGTGAAAACTGAGAAGCATGTTTATCTTCATCAGTTAGTAATTTATTGGTGGACCTACATCTAAATACCCTCTATTTATTTTCCAAAGTAGATTACGAGTGCAAGCACGATTTAAAATACATTAATGTGATTTATTTCCCACCCAAGGATAATGAATTGACGTGAACATTTAAATAATCGTTGACTGACTGACAATTAGGTCAACAAAAAGACTTACATTTAAGCAGAAGTTTTCGTGCGTGGCGCAACATAATTTTCATTGGCTATGGTTAAGAAACTTGTTGCATTTTACCATAGACGTTCCGGTCTATTTCGAGCAAGTCTTAGTCAACTGCAGAAGTTTCCCTCAAATTGATAGCGGTTTTCGCGTGTGGAATTTGGAAGTTGGAGTGGAATTTACGAAAAAGTATGACAATTTTCACTTTTGTTTCCCTATTTTGTTATTTTGGACTACTAGAGTGTGCTCTTGAGCTGAGAAAATGTTTTGTCCACTTTGCCCGTACTTAGAGCTGGGCCTGGTCATGGTTTTAGAACAGTTGATTCCCGATTAAAAATTGACTGTTTCGGTCCTTCTGAAGAATAGAACCTAAACCGGTCATTATAGGAATATTATAGTTATAATTCTTGAACCTCCTATTCCAATTTGGTTTCGATTATGACTCTAATTCAATTACGGTTTCGATTCTTTTAGTTATGCTTAAACATTTGTTGTTATAAAATTGATTATAAAAAATATGACAATGAATGTAAAAAAATTTTATAAAAAACAATCTCATTATTGATAAGATTGTACTGGTATAGGATTTAGATTAGATATGGGGTCTAGATTTACTAATGAGATGGGACAATGGTTTGTTGGACTAGAAGTGAGAGTTGCTGGCATTGGATATTGACTATTGATATTGAATTCTAAACTGACTAAATAGGTTTAGATAACATTTGTTTTTTTAGATGGTTTGAATCAATCCTATATCTCTAGTTCTAGTTCCGATTTCGATTCAAATTTTTGGTAAACCTCAACCTCGACCATAAGTTTCGATTCAAATTGAATCGCGGCCACTCGTCTCAGCTAATGGTTTGCTATATTTTATTTAAACAAGGCAGCATCAATACTAATATAAAGGGATGAAGGGTGTTACTCATCTTAATGAGAGGGGTGCACCAATAAATATTGTGAGAACCCAAAAAATTAGGTTGTATTTATTTTCTTTGAATGCATTTTCTTTACTTTAAATGATTGCCTTAATTTCTTCGATATTTTTATAAGTGAGTCAAGTTTTTAAATCATTTTTCTAGTGTAAGTTAGTTCATGTTACGTTAGTAGCGTATTATGGACGTGGGACCCGCTAGCACGGTAAGTGCGATAAAGGGATATTAGTTATAAGGTACCAAGGAATAATTAGAGGTTAGCTAGATAGATTAGTTTTGGAAGACAGAGAGATGAGATCAAACCCTAAAAGAGCCAAGTGTCGCGAAACCGTTGGATGTTGGACTTTGACCAAGTGTTCTTAACTTTTTATTAAAACCAAACATTGACCAAAATTTCCTCATTTCTTCCCATTTTTCTTAGTTTTGGCCAAAATTCTTGAGAGGAAAAACAAGGGAGAGAAACTTCATCTTCAATCCCAACTTTCTTGCTTGAATCTTGAGCTCCATAAAAGTGCTAACTAAGGTAGATTTCAAGGTATTGGTGGAGTAATTTTGGAGGAAGAAGCCCTAAGTTTCTATCTTTCTTGAGGTTACAAGGTAAGTTTGCCAAGAAATTCCTCTTTGCTTCTAATACTATCATACTAGTGGTTTAGGGTTGCTAAAGTGGTAGTTTTATGAGAAATTTCATGATTTGAAGTGGTGTTATGGAAATTTTCAGTTTTATGGTGAAATTTCTGCTCATATGTGATGCTTGAGGGTTGTCCATGTTTTGATAGCTTTGCTATGTGAAATATTGAGGTTTTATAGGCTAGTTTAGCTTGTCTAAAGAAATTTTCAGTTTATGTGCATAAATTTAAGTTTAGGGTTTCCAATTTGGGCTTGATTGTGGTTGGTTTTGGAGCCATCAATTGGCTAAAATTAAAGGATGTTGTGACCCTAATTAAGTGTGTTTAATAGCTTATGATTTGTATGTGCAATGGAGGCTGTTTTGGGTGAACTTTGGTGTTGATTGTTGTAACGACCCCACCTCCCCTAAGGCGTACCAGAGGGTTCGGCGAGCCGCCTGCCCAACTCTCGCCGGGACTCAGTCGTTCTTTAATCAAATCCAGAACAAATCACAAGAATAAATGGGGCAGCAATCCAAACTTAAAGTGGAACTTATATACATTGCTATCTCAAAAGGAAGTACAACCATCAAATGTACAAAGGTTCTCACTTCACCATACAACTAGCCCGTGCCAAGCACTAGGGCGAGAACCATTACAAAAGAAACAAAAGACCTAGACTAGGCTAGTCTATGCTCTCATCCTGCTCACCGTCCCCTGCTAAGGAAAACAAAACTAAAGGGGTGAGCTAAAAGCTCAGTGAGGTTCCAAACAGATAATCAAACAATCAAACAATCAATTCAATACATTAAACATGGAGTATCAATAATTCAAGAAACATTTACAATGGAAAGCAATAGTAACATTCATTAAAAGGATACGGCTCACAAGGAGCAATTCGTTCATTCATTCATTCGTTCTCCTGACATTTCCCCTTATTCCTCCAATCATTTGAAAATGCATTTTTCGTTTATCAATAAACCCTTGTTCGTTCGTTCGTTCGTTCGTTCGTTCACCCCCGTCCTGGCCGTTGGCCAGTCTCCACCAACCTACAGGGTAATACTCGAGTATACCAAACGTTCACCCAAGTCCCTAATCGCCCGACGAGTCCGCTTCTGGCTCGAGACGACCGGTAACAAGGGGCAATGGCCAGTTCAGCCAAAAGGCTTACATTCATGCGCAAGTAACATTTCAATCATTAAATCCTTGAAAATTGCACAGTTATTTAGGTCGAGTGCGATAAAGTACACCCTCGCCTAGAAAGCTCGTTTTGGAAATCATTAAAAGCAATTAACACATTAGCAAATGATAACAACAAGCCATAAAGTCAAATAAGGAACACTCACCTAGATATGCAAAATAACGTGCAAAATATCCTTCCGGATATTACCCTTAGTCACCAATGAAACCTAAGGTTGAACAAGAGAACATATTACAGTTTGTCGAGCAAAACATTTAAGGGAAACAAAGAAACCCGACTAATTAGGAGTAAAACGTGTAAAGATGACTTTCAAGTAAGAAGAGGGTTGTTTGAACCCCAGGATGAAAAATCATGTTTTAAAATGGAAAACCGGTCATGGTATTGGCCAAACAAAAGTATACAAGTTCAAATAGAAACCTAGCCCTCGAGCGAAAATTTGGACAGCACGCCCTTTGTGTTTACCTAATTTTCCAGCCATTTTGGCTTCATTATTTTTCCTCAACCAAAACCCAACATCACACATAAGCAATTCAAGTCAAGAGCCGTTCCATAGGCTCACAATATCATAAGAATAAGAATTACAACAATCACAAGTGCAGAAATTCAACTTAGCACAAGACAGATTTGATGTACGAATGCGGAAATAACATATCCGAAGCTACGCTTATCGGATTGAGACAAAACCTATGCCGTTTCGA